TTGAGGCTGGCCATTGTAAGTATCGACATAACTCTCTGGTCGCGAATAGGTTCCCCGTTGATTGACGTATCCACTCTGATCACTGTATCCTCTGTTTGGATAGTACCCGTTTCCACGGCTGGGCTCTACATGTGACCATGGCCATTAGCATAGTATATCAGAAAATGACAGTTCAAGCGACAGAATATTGTCTTCAGAGACGATAGTTTAAAAGGGCGTATTTACCTCCATAGTAGCTGCCACGTTTGTTGTGCTCTCCACCGTTAGGTGACTCTGTAGATAAGCTTGTTAACAATCTGAAATGCATGACAGATAAAGATTCGAACTCACCTGTTCTCGCCCAGGAAACGGGTCTACTACTGTACGTCCCTTCAAAAGCAGCTTCAAAAGCTCGGATGGTCTCTAATGGACGTTCGAATCGAGGACGAGTGGGATTGGAAAGATCGGGATCAGCTTTGATCACAAGCACTGTCAGTGGAAAGTCGCAGCAGATTGTACAACCTCTCACTACATACTGATAATCTGCCCGAATCGGTCTTTGTGCTGCATAGCTCTTAAAGAGCCCATGGTCGACTGTTCGAGGGCAACAGCCACTGATTGATCAAAAAGTCAGCTACTACGCGCAAGAGCTAGCAGAAAATAGAGGGGGGGAAGTGAAGTTTAGGTGTGGAGTCCAATCGTGGACGATGTCGCAGAATATTGAGCGACCGAAAGAGAGTTAGATGGGACCAACATACTTGGTTGTGCTTCGTTCATAGCAAGCGTTGGATCGGCTTTGGTATGTAAACTGCGCCTGTGCTTCTCCTCCGAAGACTCCCTGAGAGAGATTTTATTGCTGGCAGCGTTGCTCGACCGGCGAGATTTATCGGACCTGCCACCGAAACTGAAACCACGACTGGGTCTGGGAGACGCGACCGGCTGGGAGGGGGCCATCTTTATTTTATGTCAAAGCCCGTTTTTTTTCTGCTTCAACTAAGTCAGTTAGTGGCCGATAAACAAGTTTGTCAACAGATAGCTCCACTGACGATAGGAATAGCTCCGTCGTGATCTGCCTGCACTATGGCAGGTTGGCGGCCGTAGTGGAGCGCAACAGGTGGACACTGCCAAGAATTGTATGAACGAACACGATTGCGCTGTGTTGCTTTGGATTGGTTCTATCAAAAGCTCGGTAACTACCTAGATAGGAGTCTTGAATGCAGCGAACGGTGGACGGTGGCCAACGAGTGGAAGCGGCAGCTTGAGCTTTTGAAACGCTTCCGCAGATTGCTGTGTCTATGCTGTGGAGACGCTGGTACTATACAAGGCTGCAGAGAAGTCGCTGCTTGATCGAACTTGAACCGACAGGTATCTTCTTCTTACGGTTGTTGGTAGTGTCTTCAGCAGCCAGCAGGTCGGAAAAAGCAAAAGAAAGCACTTCCGAAAATCGTCACTGCAGAATGGAAACGAGAGGGTGTACGGAGTTACTTCATAAATATGCGCAAAGAGACCGTGCGAACTTGCGAAGATGTATCGAGCGAGCGCGCAGGGAATAAACCGAGAAGCGACTAGCAGCCAGAAGACTGCTGGATCGGCAGAAAATAGATAGTTCGAGCGTTTTCCGAGATAATTGAATTTGTGCCGCAAAGATCGACAGTGACGGTGGTAGAAGTTGTTAGACGTTAGTTGGGACAGACGGCAAAGTATCACAAGAATTAGGGTGCTCTCCAAACGAAGGTCAGTGAGAAGAAGTGCTAGAATAATAATATTCAGCTAGCTAGAGACCAAAGAAAAGGCAGGCAGATAGGCCACAGTTATAGTGGTAGGTAGGTAGTAATCGAGAGACACAGTTTCGAAGTTGACGACAGACGCCACGCAATATTATGAAGAGAGGGGAACCATAACCAAAGAATCAAATAAAAATAAAACCCAAAGCAAGTGCTACTGTGCCATGCTGTGCTGCTTGACTGAACTGCCTCCCACGAGTCGGATGATTGCGCTATATAATTATTCAAGCCACCTGACTGCCGAGTACGTAGAAGGCTCTGGTACGTATGTCTATTCTGGTAGGTTAGCACCTTAGGATCTTGGTATCGGCTACCTTTCTTATAGACTACGCTACGTTCTCTTCGTATGGAGAAAGGAAAACAATATCTCAGCAACAATAACATCAATTCTTAGAGCCCTGAATCTGCCATTGTGCCCAACTGCGACAACGCATCTCTTTCCATCTTGATAGAATTACAAGACCACGATCTAGGCAGCCAGGAATAAAAAGCAAGAAAATTCAGTAAACGTAAAATACCGCTAGACCCAAAAGTCAATTGACTCAATCAGAATCCAAACGAATTAATACGGCTACTCCAATATCCAAGACAAAGAAGGGCTCTGAGCGGCCCACAGGCTTCCCTCACTGGCTGGCGGCCGTTAGGCAGTAAACCAATCGGCTACCGGACGGTTCCCCAGCCACCGTCAGCGGGTCGTCTCGTTGGCCGAGAGAAGTTCAGGAACTGGGTCCATCCAGTTCTTGAGTCAACAGTTCCTTGGATGTGATCAAAAGCGAGACTCATGGACTCGTGTGCTTGAGAGAATGCGGTTGTTTCAAAAATAGGAAGCATAGGAGCATTTTGTAATTAGGAAAGAATTGTTGTTTAATCAATAGTTTGTTAAAAAGGAAAGAATATTCTTACTAATTGTTAATAGTGAAGTGTTTGGAATCCGCGACTATGTCATGATTACTTAATTGTGGTGGGCAGGTTATTTTATTTTTAGGTTAACTCTAAAACGGATTAGCTTTAGACAGGCTTCATCGTGCTTTTTCTCAGAGTATGGATATAGCAGCCGATTGTTACATTGTTATTATTTGTACCTTAGAAGGGTGCCTAGGTAAGAACATAGGCATATCTAGCTGCGGAAAAGCTCAGTAAACCCCTGTTCAAAGCAAACAATAAGCTGTCTTCTGAATCCATCTGTATCCGCGTCCCTCCCATTGGTTCTCTCCCGTGCCAACAGCTAGGCGACTTTGAGGATACAACCAGAGAATTTCGTTCGAGGTCATGACAGGGCGGGGTTATGTTGCCTTATGCTACACTGCACAAACTACAAAGTACCACGTATGCAGTCCTTACCTATTTATTGCCGCGTGGAGTGAGCATTAGACAGCATCATAGCTCAGACATTTCTAGTAATTACAACCTGAACTTTTGGGTCGATATTAGTTGTCAAAAGAGAAGCCACTCTCATCCCTTTCTCTAACAAGATCCCTATTATATGCACATAAGCTTCGAACACTGCTTCGAATGGGGATTTCAGGCTCGTCGGCCGTCAAGACGCACGATTTAGTGAGGATCTTCAGTATGATCTGGTGGGTCTCTGTGGTGCGGGATGGCGCACTACTTTAATTATCACTCCACAGAGACTACAAACGAACAAGCATTAAGATGATTTGGGCTCGCGGTCGTCTCAGATCTACTGAGAAATCGACGCAAGGGGTTCAGAACTCCGCTAACCTTGACATTTTGGCTCTGCGTTCCGATATCACATTCGCTTGGCAGATCGCATACATATATTCAGGAAGATAATTCCTGTACAGATATTCACACTGCAAGGACGCAAGGTAGAAAGAAAAAGCTGATGGATAGTTTGCAGCGGGCAAGAGCAGATTGCTTAGATATGTGTACATCACTTCCTATGTCTGAACTGGTGTGTGTAAACTCAATTCACTTGAACCCCTCGTGCAGACAAGCCAGTCATCCTTAATCCGGTTTCAGCAATCTGCATGCGATGCCTTGAAATTGACTCGAGCATTCCAAGTACATCACGAAACCGGACGCGGGTCATAAAATTGCAGACCGACATATCGCAGGAATATGGACTGTGACAGAAGAAGCATCATATTACTCACTCCGTTACCAAGCCATCGCGCCGACTCTACAACCAGTCGGAAGTGACTGTTTCCTCGAAATACATTGTGACTTGACTGCAGGAAAAGCTATGGTACTTCGTACGTAGTTCTCGGACCTGCATGTTGTGTACCACGTCGAATATAGTCCTACCTGTCCGGCCTCTACCTCAATAGGCTAGCAAGCGAACATCTATGTGATGATCTATCTCTCATACTGAACGCACTGAGATGCTGTAGACATGATATCTAGGGAGGGATAACACCAGGCTGGGTATATTGAGTCTTGCGGGCATGTCAACGGAGTTGTGACTGTCAAGGTTACAATCGGAGTATGGCATCCGGTTCCTATATTGTATGATTTACAGGTGTGAGAGAAGTCATGACTACTCATTCCTAACGCACCTGCCGAAGGCTGCCATAGACTGCTTGTTCCAGCTACGGGGCATGTGATCCGTTGTTCTATATGGTTACTCCCATCCGGTGAATCGTTAGCTGTAATTACTGGGCATAGAGCAACCGAAATCCCTGGGAAGCTCAAGCAGGTTACTAAAATGAGCCTGGCAGATAGAGCCGTGTCGCAGAAGGATTTCACAGGACCGATTTCGAGATGCAGCGGCCATGTTGCGTTAGGTGTTGGAAGACTATACGAGGTCATCAAAGTTGAGTTCCTGGCGTGGGATGGCAGAGCGCCGAAGCGAATAAGACCCCTGACCCAATTATCCTTGAATCCAGCCGACATTCCGCTACCATACGCCCGACACGAAAGCAACGCGCTCTTTGTTGAATATGTGTGGATTTGGTTGTTTATGAGTGTCAGATACACTGGGAAAGAAGCCATGTTGTCAGACAAGGCACGTCATGCCCGCCAATGTAGAAAACACGACAAGCCCTTCTAGATGCCTGGAGGCCGACAATGTCACCACGCTGGTAGAGTCTGAAGAAAACAACAAAAGTTCTTTTGATTTTAATTCGTAGGGCTGGTCGGCCCTGCCTCTCCCACGAACATTATCAACCCGCCAACTCCATCATCTCAACATCGGCTCATACCGTCGACTCCTTGCCCGACTGTCTGTGCGAAGTTTCCGGATTGCCCAACAAACAGGTAATAAACATGGGTCATTTAGATGTTGGAGGGGTAGAGCATGACGCGGACGGTAGCACCGAAGGACTTGGGGGGGAGGTTGTGGCGGAACTGAGCACGGACAACGCCGGAGTTGCCTGTAGAGTTGATATCGTCAGTTGTTGTTCCTCCTAGCAGCCATCGCCCAACAGGGCTGCGATGCCAGTATCACCGATCCGTCGCGTTGAAATCACTTACCGTGTGGCCGGGTAACCTTGCCCCAGATGACCCGGATGTTGGAACCCCGAACCTCACGCTTTGCCCGGTAAACGAAAGCAACCTTCTTGCCGAGGTAGAAGCTGTAAAACAACCGTCTTAGCTGCATGTTCTCTTCCTTAAGTCGTGACCCTTTCGACCAGTGTATACTCACTTTGCGGCCTCAGTGCTGTCAACACCGTCGATCTTGATCAGACTATACAAGGTGTCAGCCTCCCATATCCCTTGACGTCCAGCTTCACAGTGGATAGCTACCTGGTGTTGGGGTTGACCGCGCGCTTGGAGCGCTGGTAGCTCAGGTGGCGACCCCTGTATAAAGAATTTGTATTAACCCATCTGTCCGTATGATTTCCTTTCGACTTGGCCCCCTAGCCCGATCCCACAGTGCGGCATTTGATATTTGTATATCGCATTCCGAATGATCGCGACCCGACGGAAAATCGATGAGAAGATCGTGGCAACTTACTTGACGTAGACTGTGCAAGTAGAAAATATCCCGTTAGCATGGTTTCTTTATAAATCCCATAATCGCACCGCATCCATCCCCGAAACCCATTCTCCAACCCGCGCGCACACATCGATATCAAACTAAACGGAGAGGGATCACTCACGTCTGTGACCTTGTTCCGAAGGCATTATGACGGTTTATCTGAGCAACAGCGGGCAACGCAAACAAGTCGAAGGAAGGCAAAGATGACCCGCAAAAAGTCGTCCGGGTTGTCGTGATTGTCGTCGCTTCGATAGTCTTGAGACGAGCAGCCGACCACACAATGATCAATTTGCAAGGTGCGTTCGGGGCGGCTCGCCCTAACCCAAAACGGGATCTTAGCGAGCTGAACCGCCCAGGGTTAAGCGAAGTCCCGTGATGGAGAATCTTAAAAAAGGCCTAAGCCGCTTTGGGAATAGACCAGGAAGATTGGATTCTCCGCTCTCCGAGATAAGCTGATAAACAATGATAACAATATCTCCGCCAAGACATGACACACTTTGAGCCAGGGCAACCCCACTGCTTCCATAATTCATTTCGACATTGTTTTGCCGTCGGGCTACAGTGGTCCGAGGACGGTTCGACGGCTTCCCAGATCATTGGACATCGGATATGTCTCTGGCTCTGCTTTCCCCCTGCTTCTCCGGTGGACGTGAGTTGTCTAGAGCGTCGAATGCTGACAAACGATGCTTATTTGGCTTCCCCCTCTGGAAAAGGTAGCGACGCAAGGGTTTCGTTTGGCGATAAGCTCAGTCAGTGAGATATCCTTTATTGATGCCGTTTTCATTTCCGCGGGGTTCAGTTATGCTCTATCAGAGAGAACCTGGTCCGTTTTATGATTATTCCCATTATTATCGCGATCATTGCCTTCGTGTAGGGCTACAACAGTGTACATAGGTAGGCAGTAATTTGTCGATACTGGTTGATACTACGAAGTACTCCTAATGTTCTCCTGACAAACCCGCGTGTACTCCGAACGGTCCAGCAGACCGAGAGCACATATTTGGAAATAAAGCGAGACCGCTGCCCCACTAGCAAGGCCATCGGCAATAGACCTGACATTTGCTGGTTTATCAGCAATCGTTGGGAAGAAGGGACTCTCGGGTCTGTTGATGAGCACGCAATCGTCGAATCGAAGCTAAAAGCCAGCATATACTTTCTTCTCTTAACCCTCTTCGCAGCTCGCATAGTTTGAATAATGATAATAGCTACCGATGTGCTTTGCAGATCTGAATTAGAGGCAGTTAGTTGTTTGATATCTCTAGGTTACGGAGTTGCGCCCGTTAACCCCGAGCTCTCGTAAGCTATTCCATTATCTTTATATGGTTGAGCAAAGAAAGTCCGGGCGATTTTCATAGTCCGTACCTATCCTAAACTTCTTCGCTCACGGGAAATTAGAATCCGTAGTGATCAGTTACTACCAATTGTTCCATGACAAATTCGCTGATCCATCTCCACGGTTTAAGTCACCGGGAGAGCTTCTTCTGGCTATCCTCCGTAGCCTACAAACTACAAGACTAGGGCCTCTAGCTCCCAGTTTCCACTGCACCTAGCTCTGGCGCAATCTCTGCGACCAGCCAGTAGATAGTGGAGTCCGAAGTCGCTACTCGCTGCCAGTACTGGTATGCATCATGGGCTGCATGATGGTCTTAGGTAGGAAGCTGGAATTGAAAGCCATGCTTCTCGAAGTTTGTTTCTCCCAAGGCTTACGCTAACTGAGATTTAAAGCCAGATCTATCCTGAATAGTCCTTTCCAGGATGTACCTTTATGTAACAACACAGGCACTGACTAATATAGTCATCACAAACCTCAATTGAGATTTGATGATCATGAACCTGAGCTTCCGCGATCAGAAGGGAAACTCCGCCTCTGAGGTACGAGCATGCAGCACCGAAATAGGTGGTCTACTACAACAGCCGTGAGGGACATCACGCAGGAGTCAAAAGTTTGACCTTGTAAGCCTTTCCCCTCATTGAAGGCGCAAACAGTGTGATGCGGCCAGGTTGGTTTACGCGGGGTCAGCAAGTCAGCATCAAATCAGTCCGTATCTTTAAATGAAAATCATCCGTTGGGTCACAGTGGAGCTGACTGTGTTAGAAGTCCCATATGTACGTCTTGGTTAGTTAGCTCGGATAAAACTAGAAGTTTGATTATATGATCGAATTCGTAAGGGGATCATATCCATGGGCCCTGATGATATAAGAACGGGGAAGAACTTTTGCCACGGTGCAGTTAATTGTGAAAGCGATGACATTCGTCTCTATCTATGCGATGCTGCCCTGTATGCCTACACCAGAGCATGACCTGGCTTCTGCTGGGCGCTGTAGCATAACAATTAGGCTATCAAATAATAATCAGTAATCATATATTAATGCTCCTCCCTGTAATCCCATTCGACTATCCCCAATGCTACGTCCCATAATACACACGGGGTCGCACGGCAGCATCGACGTAGTGGAAGAAAGCAAGCCAGCCCCACCACCACCCACCTTGCATTACTGTAGCAGTCAGCTTGAGAGCCCTCGGTGTTAAATAAAAAGTACTGCTCCGCCGGAACTGTTGGGTATTTTTCCAACAATCCCTTTCATTCTTCTTCTCTTTTCTCGTCTTTTATATCTCACTCCTAAAATAACCTCTGTCCCAAAGATCGAAGTGTCAGTTTCAAACAATTCTTGCGAAGATGGCCAGCACAATAGCCCGAACTGAGGAACACCAGAATGCTGGGTACGTCTCTCCCATAGTTCTGCCTCTCTGACATCACACCCCTCCCCCTCCAACGGCGGAAACACTCCCGTTACCTCAGACCCTACCACCGCTTGCGACTGCTCCGTACTGGTCACCGATGTGCAACCCGTCAGCTACCATTTGACCAGCATCTCATTTCCCCTTGTCTTTTGGCTCAATTCAATTCAGCCTCGCTCCTGCTGCAACTTACAGAGTTGACTATTTGTCCATTACTGCCTTTTTTCTGCTCTCCATCCATTTTTACCCTTTTTCTCTTTCACCCCTGCGTCCATCAAGTCACACAACGAACCCTGATCGACCTAGCAAAATATTTCTCGCCTTGAACAGTACCAGTACAAATCAGTTGCTAACATGGATTATGCGCTCAGCACACTCGAACTTAAAGATGACACCGTCATCGTAGTACTAGGTGCCTCGGGAGATCTTGCTAAGAAGAAGACCGTTCGTTGTCCCAGGACCGGATATTACTCTCTAGACAGTTGTTTTAAGCTAACCTCTCAATAGTTCCCTGCTCTTTTCGGACTCGTACGTGCCACCTCTATTGACAAAGGTCTAAACACACCTAGATTGACCGTATCCACAGTTCCGCAACAAGTTCCTTCCCAAGGATATCAAGATCGTCGGATATGCTCGGACAAAGATGGACCACGAAGAATTCCTGAAGCGTGTGCGATCATACATCAAGGTTCCCACCAAAGAAATCGAGGAGCAGCTGGACAGCTTCTGCAATCTCTGCACCTACGTCTCTGGTCAATATGACCAGGACGATTCCTTCATTAACCTGAGAAACCACCTCGAGGAGGTTGAGAAGGGCCACAAGGAGCAAAACAGAGTCTTCTACATGGCGCTGCCTCCCAGCGTCTTCACCACTGTGTCAGAGCAACTGAAGAGGAACTGCTATCCCAAGAACGGCATTGCTCGGATCATCGTGAGTTTCCCACCCCCAATGCGAAGAGGAGAGTCAACGACTGATGGGCATGTTTCCTTCGTGTACAGGTTGAGAAGCCCTTCGGTAAAGACCTTCAGAGCTCGCGTGACCTCCAGAAAGCCCTTGACCCCAACTGGAAGGAAGAGGAGATCTTCCGGATTGACCACTATCTGGGTAAGGAGATGGTCAAGAACATCCTTATCATGCGCTTCGGCAACGAATTCTTCAACGCCACTTGGAACCGTCACCACATCGACAATGTACAGGTATGGGATACTTGAAATAGTCGGAATCCTCCGAATTGAGAGCAACTTGCTGACAGGTTCGCTCCTGCCGCAGATCACATTTAAGGAGCCTTTCGGTACAGAGGGTCGTGGTGGTTATTTCGATGAATTCGGCATTATCCGTGATGTCATGCAAAACCGTATGTTTTGCCATCTGCTTGCGTGAATGAGCGATGCTGATATTCGTCTCTTCAGACTTGCTGCAGGTCCTGACATTGCTCGCCATGGAACGTCCCATTTCCTTCTCCTCTGAAGATATCCGTGACGAGAAGGTAGGCCACTCAGCTATTTGACCAGAGGCGACGAGCGAAACTAATTCACCCCAGGTTCGTGTCTTGCGTGCCATGGATCCCATCGAACCCAAGAACGTCATCATCGGCCAATATGGAAAGTCTCTGGATGGAAGCAAGCCAGCATACAAGGAGGATGACACTGTCCCTAAGGATTCTCGGTGCCCGACTTTCTGCGCCATGGTTGCATACATCAAAAATGAGAGGTGGGATGGTGTTCCCTTCATTCTGAAGGCTGGAAAGGGTAAGCATAGTTTACTTGTCAGACCAGTAGAGTCACGCGCATACTCACCTTTCACACAGCCCTGAATGAGCAGAAGACCGAGATCCGTATTCAATTCCGCGATGTCACTTCTGGTATTTTCAAGGATATCCCTCGTAACGAGTTGGTTATCCGAGTGCAGCCCAACGAGTCGGTGTACATCAAGATGAACTCCAAGCTGCCTGGCTTGTCCATGCAGACCGTCATGACTGAGCTGGATCTCACCTATCGCCGCCGTTTCTCTGATTTGAAGATTCCCGAAGCCTACGAATCGCTCATCCTGGACGCTCTGAAGGGTGACCACTCTAACTTTGTGCGTGACGATGAACTCGACGCAAGCTGGAAGATTTTCACGCCTCTCCTGCACTACCTTGACGACAACAAGGAGATCATCCCCATGGAATACCCCTACGGTATGTACTATAATAAACTCTTCTGATTAATATCATTACTGATACTGTCAAAGGTTCCCGAGGACCCGCTGTTCTTGATGATTTCACTGCTTCGTTCGGCTACAAATTCAGCGATGCTGCTGGTTACCAGTGGCCCATGACCAGCACTACCCCCAACCGTTTGTAGAGGGATGGGATATTGCATGACTATGAAATAAAAAAAGCATTAATGTACGAATTTTGTTGATTTCATGATGTCTGGGTCGTTATGGCAGGGTTTTCTTTAGTCTTGATCAGCCGGATATGCTTTGATATGTTATTAGAAATGAAGAAGCTTATGAGCAAGACCAGACCAGGACGGCCGGTATAACGGATGTGGGTATGTAACATGCAAGCCGTATGGCCTGATTTGAAAGGATGTTGTCTTTAGCCTGTCGAGCGTCAGAGGAATTCACTCACGGTGCTCTTGCTCCACTCGCTGCTTTACGCTGCCTTAGGTACATATAACGGCCTCGAGGTCGCGCCTCGATACGTAGCCTACCATTCATCTTAGCCTTTGTCAAGAATGAGAGTAATCATATAGCCAAAAAAAAATAGGCCATTCTCGGCTTTGTCGGTAATGTAAGCCTAAGGTAGAATCTTCGACTCCTTCCCTTATTTCAACACATGTTGGTGTCTTAGCCGGAATAAGGGGGGTTGCACATATCTGGGGAATTTGAAGATCGTCCCTAGTCACAAGCCTCACCCAGATAGGTGGGATTGTCAAGCCAACTCTAGATAAACTGAATTCTAGAGAACAGTCATCATCATTCTCTCTCTGACTATTAATAACAACTACCTCATGGCTGGTGGGTCACAGGAAATTAAGAACCCAACCGATGCGGATTAGACCTGAACCGCAGTGCATGGACACCCCGGGGCCCGCATGCGTTGATTTGCACTTTTCTGGCAGTTGAGCACTGGGCATCCTGGGCGCTGGGCCTCACCTCCATCTTTCAGGGTCTTCTTCCTATTTCCCCTGCTTTCTCCCCTTTCTTTATTTCTGTATCAAATCCTTCCTATCCTACTCTGAAGTGAATCGTGGAAGAGATCGGCTTCTCGCGTTCCATTGACCAACTTGTACAATTTCGTCGTATCGGGGACCCTACAAACCTAGTAATCGACAATTCCAACTCCGGTCATTTTATCGAGTCGGACAGTGCAAAGAGCATACTGCACAGTCGACCTCAGATTAACGATTGATTCGCTATTCGTGACGCTCCGCTTCTAGAGATCCAGCTACGTACGAGGATTGTTAGTTTATTGGCTATTGCGGGTTGATTGCGACCAGGCTGTTGCGACTCGGCTTGACCAAGAGCAGGGGACTACAAATATCACTACGGTGTATGGCAAATTGAGGATACTGTTGGATTCAGTCAGCTGCATGCGGGCGTCGTAAGGATGCCGCAGGCTGCAAGATGGGTGGGTTCTCCCTCCATCAAGGGAAAATCAGAATCGATGCGAATGGCACTGTTGACATTCAGCTTGTTGGGGTTGCAGTATGTACTTTCGTCCACCACTGCCAATGTGTTTTGACCTCGCTCATCAGTCGGATTACTGATTAATCTCCTGTTGTAGATTTACATGGGGCATTGAAATGACCTGTAAGCCTTTCCTTTCACCGGAGTCACCGCGTCTTGCGATTTGACCATTTCCGCACTCGAAATAGATTGCACACCGTACTTGCTCCAGCTGGGTCTTACAAAGTCACGGACTTCACTTGTGTGGATCGCTGGCCCCTTGTCTGGGTTGATCATTCAGCCTTTGATTGGTGTCATCGCGGATCGTTCACGCTCGAAATGGGGAAGGCGCAGGCCGTTTATGGTCGTTGGCTCGGCCATTGTCGCATTGTGTTTGCTGGTGCTAGGGTGGACGACGGAAATTGTCAGCCTATTCGTGAAAGATGCAGAGAAGGTATGTCTATTCTACTTGAGCCGGGTTTTGGTATCTGTTGCGACTCCGCCGCTCACTTTTACCAGGCAAAAAATGTCACCATAGCCCTTGCCGTCCTAAGTATCTATGCAGTTGACTTTGCGATCAATATCGGTGAGTATGTTGACGCACTCGCCTGAACTAAACTGACATCCTGCAGTCCAGGCTTGTTGTCGCAGCTTGATCGTTGACACATTGCCAATTCCATTGCAACAAGCTGGTTCAGCATGGGGTATGATCCTACATTTGTCCACGAGGCCAAAAGCTAACGACGTTCAGCTACAAGGATGTCCGCAATTGGTCAGCTGATTAGCTATGCCATTGGCTCAATCGATACGGTCAGCGTCTTCGGCGCCATTATCGGTGATACGCAATTTAAACAGATGACAGTCATTGCTGCACTCTCGCTGATTGGGGCTGTTTCCGTCACCTGTTATTCGGTGGATGAGAGGATCCTTATTACTGCCAGGTGACGATAATTAGAACCAGTTTGTCCATATTAGTGCTGATTTTGATCATACAGGGATTCCGACGGAAAAGCGGGAGCGGTTCAAGTCATTTCTCAGCTTTTCAAGACGACAATGGAGCTTCCTCCTCGCATTCAGGCAATTTGTTGGGCGCAGTTCTGGGCCTGGATTGGTACAGCATCTTTCGAGAAGATTTGGAAGGCGTCGCTGACTCGCTTTAGGCTGGTTCCCCTTCCTTTTCTACAGTACGACGTGGGTCGGTGAGACCTACTTCCGATACGAAGTCCCCAAAGACGCTCCACAGTCAAGCGACTTTCTCGGCGAAATTGGACGCGTCGGCAGTCTGTCTCTGGTAGTTTTCTCTTCCATCACTTTCATAAGCTCTGTGCTTCTACCATTCTGTGTGCAACCTCCGGACAGTAAACGGTCCAGATTCACACCGCGCCCGCCACCTGGTATAGCTGCACTTCTTAAGAAGATCACTGCGATACGACCAGACCTGCACACAACATGGCTGATATCTCATGTGATGTTTGCTGCGACCATGATCTTTGCACCTCTGGCCCGGTCTCGGGCATTTGCAACCTTCCTCGTGGCCGCGTGTGGTATTCCGTGGGCGGTCAGCACTTGGGCGCCTTTTGCATTCATGGGAGTGGAAATCAACAAGCTGGCGATGGGACCTGCAGCCGCAGCGCGCTCTTCTGGCGTGACCATGATTACGTCTTCCACTATCCGCTCCGGCAATTATGATACGGACACGGAGATGGACGTCCTGCGACTCAATCATCATGATACGGATAGCGACAGCGATTCGGAGGATGACGCAAATATTCCTTCCACTGGCGAACTGGCTGGTATCTACCTCGGCGTGTTGAATGTGTACACAACACTACCGCAATTTGTCGGCACATTCATCAGTTGGATAGTCTTCAGCCTCCTCGAACCCGGCAGTACGAAACGGGACGACTCCGCGCAGGACTCGCAATGGATACGCCGAGATAAAGAGGGTCCTAATGCTATATCCATCTGCCTGTTTGTGGGTGCCTTGTGTGCACTTGTAGCCGCCGAAGCCACTCGACGATTACGTTATGCTCGCTGACGGCTGTGAGTGCTCACCTGCATCACAATATATTTCCCTGACGATGTACGATCAGCGACGTCTTGTTTCCTGTCCAATCCCTTGTATTGCTCCGTTTGATTGTTTCATGTCTCGTTGATACCCAGATCGCCCGACTGTATATGCATTCTGGATATATCCTTTCTTAGATCTGATGGCAACTATCCATGCCAATGATTGGTATATAGTGAACTAATGATAATACATAATCATGAACATAGCCTTTTACCCTGTCTCCAAACTCAGTAGCGACTGACTGACGTAGGAGATGACGATATACTGATATAGTCCAATCAAGCCAGTAGGTCAGCATAATTCTCCCGAACAGACAGCATACTCTCCGACCACAAACCATATCATCAATCGAGCAGGCTTGAAAATGCCCCACGTCCTCATAGTCCTCACCTCGCAGGGCTTAATCCCCGCCACCCGCCAACAAACAGGCTGGCAGCTGGTACGTTACGTCCACCTCACTGACCCCAGATATTCAACCACTCACAAAGAAACAATGGGAAACCACCCAGTCCGAACTCGCCTACCCATACTCCATCCTCGAACCCAGAGTCAACATCACCATCGCCTCCCCCCAAGGCGGCGAAGCACCTCTCGACCCAGCCTCAGCCTCCACGAAACCAGAAACCGCCTCCGACGAAGCCGATTCAACGGACATATCCTCTATAGCGCACCATTGGGAGGCCTGGACGCACACATACAGGATCAGGGAGGTGGTTGGCCGTGCGGGAGCGGGGGAGTTCGATGCGGTGTTCTATGTGGGTGGGCGCGGTGGTATGTCTATGTCTATGTCTACGATCTACACCTGAGGTTTACATTACATGATGTTGATGTTGACGGTGTAGCGATGTTTGACCTCGTAACGGACGCGGCCTCGCTTGCCCTGATACAGAATATCGCGGCGGTGGGGAAGCCCATCGCGGCGGTGAGCCATGGGCCAGCGGCGCTGCTGAATGCGACGGCGCCGTCGGGCGTACCTTTGCTTTCTGGAGCACGGTTGACGGGGTTCTCGAGGGAGGAGGAGGATGAGGCGGGAATGGCCGCTGTTATGCCGTTTCAGTTGGAGACGGAGCTGGAGCGGGTATCTGGGGGTGGATATGTCAAGGCGGACCGACCAGGGATGGAGAAGGTGGTTGTATCTAGGACGGCCGGGCTACACTCGCCGCTGATTACGGGGCAGAATCCAGCCAGTGCGGTTGGGGTGGCTAGGGAGATTCTGAGGGTGTTGGGGTGCGATTGACGTCGTTGATCCGAGTATACCATATTCCAGAGTCATATTGGGCTGAGCGTCAGAAGGGGCGCGTTAAGAGACGAAAAGCAAATTGTTTGAATTCACAAAGTCTGCCAAGGTATATGGAACAAGAACATGCAGAAACATACAACAAGAGGGGAATCAAGTGAAATCACGATTGAAGCGACAGGATATCGAAAATTAGAATCACATCTGGTCATCGAAAGAAGATAGATGAATCGACCAGAATATTACAACAATGTCGAGTACAAACTGGCGGTAAAACAAGCGGCATAATGGCGTGATCTTGTTGTCCTTTCGCTGTCAAATATGAGACCTGGCCCATGGAAGGAGTATCAAAAACATCAAGGCGTATAAAATCTACCGAT